CGGCTCTGCGGCCGTTTTTTGCGAAGTTATTTACCAAAAACTGAACCGTACCCTGGGGCACTTGACCTGACCTCAGAGGTCATCGGTTGACCTAGGACCTTAAAATCGGGTACCAATCTCTGCGTCTCGTAACGGCGCACACGCTCGTTTTTTCCGCGACGCGCTAGCTCCACCAGGGGCGAAACGGCGAGGGGTGGGTCGTACCCGCCCCCCCCCCCCCTCGGCCGGCGCGTATGTAGAAAACCAATAGGTCCGGCGAGGGTTAAGACCTCGCAAGATTAAAACCAACAGGACAGGACAATGAAATTGAGCTATACTTTCGGGCCTTGCTGAGCCCATTGAGTAATCACGCATGAGTGTGAACTTTGGGCGCATTTTTCCTAGTTTTGCTGTGGACATACAGATAAAACAATGCCATATATGAAAAATTCAGACATTTCTTAGCCCTACTGACACAAAAAATAAACAAAAATCCAAAAAATATTTTTTGAATTAATAGGCGCTAGATCGGAAAAATCCCCACTGTGCAATGGATGGACGGCCGTCCCCCAGCCGTCACTGGCGCAGGGGAGGCGCAGACCGGTCCTGACAGATGGCGGAGTGCTGAACCGGGCTGTCGGTAAGCTGGTAAGCCCGCCGGCGGAGTGTGCGAGTCCCCCAGGTCTCCCACTGTTTATCCGGGGAGCCGCAGAAAAACCGCAGAGCTTGTGCGCTATGCTGCTTTCTGGATAATCCAGTGATGAGCTACCCGGCCGGCTGTGCGAGGTGGTGTAACGATCTGTTTGACACACCATTGGCGCTGACGAACGAACCCCACTTGTCTAACGAAAAAACTCCACTGGCCCTGAAGGCACGAACTGTCAATGGCAAACAAATAAAGTAAACACTGACATACCGGTGGCCTGCAGGGCACAGCGGGAGAGCGCATCCAGCAGTCCCCATAAGGGGGACAGGCACCGCATACCATAATGCATTAGCACACTGCTGTTTGAGAGTAATCAGAGGCCGGTGATAGAGTGCAGGGCAGAGGCGCGCTGACACATTCCGGAGTTTATAAACTTCCGGCAGGACAGCCCGCGTGCCTCCGCCGCAATGCAAGAGCATAACATTGACAGTAACATGTCCCTGGCGGAGTACAGACACATAACACTGCCAGGAGAGAGGAATGGGGACGAGGAGTAGGGGACGGAGCGCTTTTGGACGGGGCAGCAAGGCCGAAATATATCGACCGAAATATATCACCGAAATATATCGACCAGACAATGAATCGCGACTCGTTCGCTGTTATGTGTGCTTACATTGCAGCAGCAAATTTCTATATAGGACGGCAGACGGCTTTTAAAGCCCATTGGAGCATGAGCTCTATCGTCCGGAGCATCCGTAGACATGATAACCAAAAAGTAGTCCGCTGTTTTGGTAAAAGGAATTGGTATACACAGGGTACATTGCCTTTTTGGTGGGACCCGTTGGAATGCCTAGTTATGTTAGTGACATTCACATGTAAATATCTACGATATAGGACCATATTACCGTGCATTGGCTTGCGAGAGGTATTTCTGTCATGTTTTATACATGCAGTTGAATTTTACAACGCTTAGAAGGTGAATATCGGTATGTGCATTGTGCAGGCTCTGATTCAATGAGGAGAGAAATATTTACATGAAGAGGTCGCGCATGCCTTGTGAGCACCGACAGGCACCATGACCGACATATCTACAAGTGTTCTGACATATTCATCAGTCTCGTGTCATGAAAAACTCTGGCTATTGTTGAGGTGGAACTCCCCGAATAAATGAGCAAGATTTCATTCTTGGAATCGTTTTGTGCTGCATTTGGACAGATAAATTGTTTTTGTTGCGGTAAAGTTAGTCGCTGCTTGCTTCAAAGTTGTCATATAACATATCAAGTCAGACCTTCTGTTGTCATCTGGAAACAACAGAGGGATGTATCCGCCCATCCCTTCAGACACAGGCGGGCACTTGACAATGCTGAAAGCGGACAGCGACGCTTTGAAGGCCGTCTCTCCGCCCGCTCTCGAGACTCAGCTGTCTGTGATCGGAGTGGTGCTACCGCCGGAGACAGGTCGAAGCGGTGCCCCCGCCGGAGACAGGGTCATTAGCGGTGACATCTGGACCGGTTCTGCACCGGGAAGAGACGACCCGTGTCGCCAATACCATTCGCAGCCCGGTTCCGAGCGCGGTGCCGATTTATTCGAGCTGTCCGACGCACGGTTCGAGCCCAGTTGCCGTCCGCCCCTGTCAGGTCTGGACAGAACAGCGATCAGCCGCAGCGCTGGCCGTTACCGCAGTGGCTGAGGCAGCTTTTCTGGTGGCTGTGGCAGCTCCAACGGCCGGTAGCTGCAACAGCTCCGCGGCAGCCCCCTGGGGGTTCCGGAACAGACCTGTCGGCCATTCGACAGCAGGGGGAGACCGGCGAAAATGGCCTTGTTTATTGTCGTCCCCACCGGCTGAGGGAGCTCGACGGGCCGCCTCTGGGCCGGGAGACAGTCCGACGGCCCGCCGCCGGCACTCTGACGAGTTCTGACGGTGAATTGGACAAGTTCGCCTCGATGTCAGCCTTTATTCGCCAACTTGGCCCTTCGGTGGCACTCGGAAGAAGCGCTGATCGTCCTCACAATGCAACTTTCAATAGATACAATTGTTGAACAGCAGCCGGTGGGACCGTCGAATAAATGGCGGAGCCAGATTATAGTGCTTTGTCTCCATTCGTCTCGGACGTTCAAAGGCCCGCTGGAATTCCCAACTCCTGGGGCTCTGCCACTGAGAAACACTCAAGCCTATCCATGGTTCTCGGAGACCATGCAGGGGTCGTTCTGGTCTTGTATGAGAGCCTCAATTGGGGAGAACTTTGTTTACAGTTGTTGGTCTCCAGTTTGGTAAAGTTCTCAGGTTTTTCCCGTAACGTTCTCGAGTGAGAATGGTGTGCTATCTTGAACGAGAACTTTGCCCGGATAAGGTACTCTTATACTGCGGGATGATCTCCCATGAGAACCTTTACCAGGTCATGAGATCATAAACGAACACAATTCCCGCTCATAATATGATCCTGTATGGTCTCCGAGAACTTTACAACTTAAGAGCGCCGGCTTTCCTGGCACGGCATTCGCGCTCACGACCCATCCCCCCTCCCCTCCCTGTAGAGTGCCAGCTTTTCATGGCACAGCATCCGCGTTCTCGATCCTTACCATTCCCTCCATGCATAAACAAGGTAAAGAACAGGCATGTATATTTATTGTGTCAGATGTCAAAAAACTCACTCTGGAACAGAACATGCGATGCAGTCATTCGATGCGAACATTTTGTTTCAAAAGCTGCCCAAACCCTTTCGCTTGCCGCCCCAGTCAGTACCGACCGGCGTGCTGAGTTTCAACGAGTCGTTTAGCAAGAGACCATAATATCTCCCGGTGCACGACAGCTCAGTCCCTTTACTTTACTTTTAACACGGAATGCAGGTAAGTGCAAAAATGCATGTCAAGCGGCGCTCCCCACGGTCCACAGACTGTGCGAACGATGTACAATTCAAACACTGTTAAGTACAGGCACGTACAATAGTTACACAGGCACAGACATTAAAAAGTTAATACAGGTAAAATGTATGGGCTGGCATGTGAACACTACCGACGGGAGTCCATGCGAGACCGAAGTCTAGCCATAGGAGCGGCGGAGGCGACGACAGCCGGTTGGCCGCTCTAGACAGTTTGCGCAGCTGGTAGCTGCATCTGGCTGGGGAGGAGCTACTCCAGCATGGCAGCCTGCTGACTGCTGAACCAAGAGCGCCATCAGACGCTCCAGCTGCTCGTTGTCTCCCATCACTGCACCGGTACGAGCGATCCGACACGACGGTGTTAACCCTATTCCTGGCGGGCTCCGCCGGGACAAGAAACTGGCGGGGGGGGGGGGCCGATTCGGCCCCCCCCTGAGATCTCGAGAACGAAGCAAGATAGCGACAAGCGGTAAACAACATCGGATACGCACGGCCAAGATCTACAATTTTTACTAAGGTCATTTTCAGGTCAGGTCAAAGATGACGTCACAGGGGTCGAAAAAGTCAAAATGGCGGCACTAGATATGGAGAGAGTTTTTCTCGAATAACTTTCGAATTAGTCAAGATAGGAACAAACTAAGGGCATCATCGTGATCCTCTCGTCAATCCGCATCGAATGATATATAGGTATGTTGACCTCGAAAGGTCAAGGTCAAAGGTTGACCTCAGGTCACGTGACCTCGAGGTCATCATGTATATCATTCGATGCGTCTTGACGAGCTGAACACAATGAGACCATCCACGCGTCTGTATCTTGTTCCTGTACGGAGTTATTGGCCAAAAACCTTTGGTGACCTTTGATGACGTCACATGACCTCACAGCTGCCCAACAGCAAAACAGACCTCAAGGTAGTGAAGGTTGACCGTATATGAAGTCATGTATGGTATATGGGGCCATTCCGACCCGTTTTAGTGGTAAAAACAGGGAGTTGATTTTTCCCCCATTGACTTATAATGGGGAGGTCGCGAAATTGACCTGACCTTAGGTCACCGATATCAAAATTCCGAGATATACAAATTGCACATACTGGTACCCTAACTAAACCCTGAAGAGAAGAAATTGATCGGTCAAAAACTCTAGCTCTGGCGTGATTGCAAACTTTTCTGAGGTAGCGTCACCAAACCGCCTCTGGTGACCTGACCTGAGGTCAGATCAACTCAAAATTTTCAGACATGTTGCGTAGAAGCCTTTTAGGAAAAGTCAGAAAATTTGAGCTTCCTAGCTCAACGCGTTTGGGAGATATAACCAAAAAACCTCAGGGGGGGGGCTCCTGAGGCCCCCCCCCCCCGCCAGGAATAGGGTTAACTTATGTGCGTCTCTGAATCGGTGTCGCGCACAGGGTCAATGTCACTCGCGTACTGGCCACGCATATTATCGATTACACCACTATTTCACTATTTCACTGTGGCCGGACCGTCTCGGCGAACACGCCTCACCTCACCTCGCGGCACTCAGCTGTGTTGACACCAGCGCCGCTCGGACGATACTGACCCTCGGCCGCTCGGCCCGGCCCGGCCGGTCAAGGTCGTTCAAGGTCACGGCTGTCAAGGCGCGACACGCGTGACCCAGGAGCAGGACACAACAGGGACATTTTGGCGTTGTGCCCGATGAGTTGCCTCACTTCGGTGTCCAACATTGAGAGCATCGTCTCTACGGCTTCTTGCTCTGAAAGGGAGAGTAAGACAAATATTAGAGAAACGGCAGAAACGCTTAATTTCTGAGCCATATCCTCAAAGCACACGAATTGGCATTTAAGCAGATTTAGCTAACACTGGCAAACAGATGGCAATCGCAACCTATATCCCAAAAATGGGCAATGGCACACAGATTTTACCACCTCCCAGAGTAGGTCGCGATTTGGGTGCAGACGGCCATTAACAGCCAATACTGGACAACAGATCTAGGGAGCGTACGGTATGAGACGCCCTAATCAGTAATAGGGCCCACCTATTAGCTTGATTTGGGGCTCGAATAGAGGGAGCGGAGGATGGCCAGAACGAGGAGGGAGGGAGGGGCAGAGGGGTGGGAGGAGACCCGAGTCGTGGCGCGGTTGACGACCCGGGTCCAGGGGGAGGGGACCGGGCTGCGGCCGAGGCGAGATAAGACACGCACAGTACACAGGCCGCAAAACAGGTCGGGCAGTCCAAGGCGCGCGCTCAGAGGCGGCGGACAGTGCGGAAGGGTGGAAACGAAGCGACAGGCTGTGGCAAACGATCCCCTCCCACCCTCCCCAATAGCAACTTTTAATCCAAAAATACCGTCCCATAGACACATTCGTCGTCGGCCTAAGTCTTGTTATCGATCATGATATGAACGATAACGCGATTTGGGTGCAGACGGCCATTAACAGCCAATACTGGACAACAGATCTAGGGAGCGTACGGTATGAGACACCCTAATCAGTAATAGGGCCCACCTATGTGCACATTAAGACATACAGAAAACAAACTCACCATGAGACGTTCGCGCTGTGCGCCAGACACCAACTCGCCAAAGGAACAACCACGCTGCCGGCAGCCGTCGCAGTGCTTTCGAGAAAGGAAGGACCGGAAGCACTGAGGCATTATAGAGATGCTCCTTAGGGATATCCATTTAAAGTGCTTTGAACTGTTAAAATCGATAAACATCGTGTCATATAGTAAGGCTCTTTTTCATTAAAAATTATTTCTTCTACTGAAAAATACATGTTTCATTTTTATCAATAATTGCTATTTTCCTAAGCGAAAATGGTATCGCAGCAATTCAAACTGCTACTCTTAACACAGCGCCACCTACGCCTTTAGTTTCCTTCTGTGCTGACATCTGTCGTCAAAACACGTCAGCTGCGAGAACTATAAGGAAAAAAGTGAGAAGTTTACCATCCTTTCTGACCGAATGACTGCTGGTTCGAATCTCACCGCAGACCGACTGTTTGCGTTACACGGGTAGCTAGACAACTTCCAGTACTAAACTATCTCGGTCAAGACCAAATCCACTCCTGAAACCGAAGTGGAGACCATGCACAGTTCTCGGGAAAGACCAATTCCTCAAAGCGGCAAAATGGAAACCATCGAAGGTACTCAGGTGAGTACTATCAGTATAAGTTCTAAAATGTGTTTCTCAGTGTGGGGACGTGCACGGCTGCTTCCAACATGAGCAATCGGCAGGAACAGATCACCTTTGGGCTGCAGCAGGACGTTGACCAGATTCGTCTGTTCTATCCGACTTTACGTTACCTTACAACGACTGTGTGAAGGTCGCGTCTCGTCGCAGAACTGCATTCCGGCAGGCGCTCGTATGTTAGTTTTACAGCAATTGGGTTGCAGGAGAGAGGCTCCCTGATTATCTCCAGGCAGAAGCAGGACTGGTCGGACAACATGCTTTTTGTCAAACTGCAAACATTCACCATTATATTATGCATATAATGCCATGGTATTTGGTGCGTGTACGATTCTCCTGATTCACATTGCAACAAAGTGAGAAGTGAGTAACTAAATCAGTTAAATCGGTGCCTGCTTTTTATGGCTACACCTCAGCCCATGCTGCCAAATACTAGAAGTAAGAGGGAGAGACATCTGAAAAATGTCCAGAAATTCTCGAAACCGCTGCAGCTCTCCCCTGCACTTTGCCTGCAGCTGTTCGAGCTCTTTACGTTTCCTGCATGCATTTGCATTTTCTGCATTTCCTGCATTTCTTACATGCGAGCGGCAGACCCCAGCGAGAGATGCTGCGTGTTGCTGTGGCTTGTGCATGGAAACTAGGAAATGTCGCTGAGTGGAAGCGTTCTCTTTGAGCTCAATTGATCAGCCTGGCCGGCTCCGGCTGTACATACCGGTGTAACGAGGCACTAGTCGGCTAACGTGTCAAAGACATGACGATAACATCAGCTTTTGAAGTGCAAATACACTGTCGCTGGTTCTTTGACCCGACAGGTTTGCATTAAACGTGACCATGTTCTGATGTGGTTCGATGCCAGCTAAAGCCAACATAGTTCAGCCATTATGCTACATTGCATAACGAAGGATCCATCAAGTGAGTCATGTCTCAGCTCTGGATAAATCGGGCACCCATTTACACATTCTCAGTACATCACAAAGACGCAAATGCAAAAGACGCTTCCTTACCTGCGCAATGAAAGATAATGTATTGGACATTTCAAATGCATGCAACATCGACTGCATGCGGTGTTGGTGGTATGCGCCGAACACCTGTGACTGGCTAACTGTTCTGAGGGTTCTGAGAACACATTTCATCAGCTATATGCATGATGCATACCAGCACCATGACCAGCTACTTCATGGTCCTCCGCGGAGCCAGGTGTGCCCCAGAGCTGCAGCTGAAACGTAGCGCGTTGTAGGTCAGACTTGGGTCCCTGATGAGAGGGCTCAGCTGGGTCTAGGAGTGTCGGGAAACATTTGTCGGTATATGCAACGCATTTTGTCACAGTCCCTGCATCACATTTGAAATACCTTGCAACAAATACATTAGGTAAGCTGGCTGCTGCATTAACCCGCGACCTGGTGGGGGGGGGGGCTATTTTTTGCCCCCCCTCCAGACTTTTCGATATATCTCCAGAACCGCTGCGCCGATCGTCACCAAACTTTCAGTACCCTCTCGGACATCAATTTCACACATTGTGACCAAAATTGTTTCCAAATGCTATGATAGGTTGGCCGGAAATGACGTCAGAGTGACGTCATGTTCTGCCGTTTTCGACCCAAAAAAGGGTTTCGCGGGAAGAGCTGTCAGGCCTATAGCTTTGCAAATACAGAAAAATGATAAAGACATAAAAGCTGTAGATAGGACAAGGCTACAAAACTGCTATCTCGGATTTTTGAAATTTTTGGATTTTGACCCCCAAAAATCAAAAAATAATTTTTTTGGATATAATAATCGAAAAATCCAAAAAGTTTTTTGAATTTCGCAAAAACCGGAATATATGTGATAGTCCTTACCGCCTTCCATCCACATACCAAATTTGAGCTTGATACCTCTTTTTTTGGCGAAGTTATAGCGAAAAAACTGTTCAAAATTGATGACGTCAAATTTTCAAACTAAATTTTTAGCAATTCTAGACCCCGTAGCGCAAAACAAAGACCACCATTAGACTCCCCGTGACGAGCTGCATCGAATCAATACCCATTTTATGCAAAACTATCAACTTTAAAATTTGACCTTTTTTGGCCTGACCTTGACCTGACCTTGACCTGAACTTCACCAGAAAGTGACCTAAGCCGTACCTGATAGTCTTATAACCAACACCATTGAGTTGGAAATGAACAATTGGCCATAAAACATGTATCACACAACCTTAGTAAAGTTGGGCTCATGTGACCTGACCTGTGACCCTTGGTGACCTGACCTGTGACCCTTGGTGACCTGACCTGTGACCTGACCTGGTATTGCCAGTGACCTCTAATAGCAACATATCTACTAGGCAACTGACGCCCTACCGCTGATTCTCGACAAAATGCGTTTTCCTCGGTGTTATAGCGCATTCCCTAGAAGACCCGTGAACGGTGAAACATTTCATCTTTGACCTGACCTGTGACGTCATCGGTGACCCCGAGGTCAATGAAATTTGGTTTCCCTTAACAAAATTTGACAGGCCTTTCGAACACCGTTTGAATTTTGCGGATCCGTCCAGTAGTTTCGGAGATACGGGGGGGGGGCAAAAAATAGCCCCCCCCCCACCAGGTCGCGTTATAAACAGACCCCACCAGGGCGCAGGTTAACAAATATTTATACTCCTCATGAAAAGTTTTGCATGCGATGAAACAGGATATGACATACGAATGCCAAGAGTGTCTGTCATCCATGTTTTGCAGCTGCTTGACGAAAACCAGCCTTCAAACATGCTTTACAGCATGAACATGAAATGAAACTGCGAGTGGGCGCTGTCAGTACATCAACAAGACGTGACACAAAATAAGAGAAGAAAAAAGTGTGGAGCAGAGGTGCTATTTTTTCCAGGAAGCAGCTTTAAGTGCTGGTGCAGGCTGGTGCCAATTTGATGCAGTAATTCCATCAATTGGATCACGATTAAATTTGCAACATCCATTCAGTAGTGTTGCAATATTCATTTGATTCTGTTTATGGTTCCGAGTATGTTGAATATTTGCAATCAAGAATAGCTAAGCATTGTTGAGGCATGCTTGCCGTAAATTCATGGGTCAACTGTCAAGATCTCCGAAAAAAGTATTTGGTAAAACAATATCCTGCTCAAAAGTGACAACTTTCGCAGTTGACAAAACAAAGTCTGAAATTAAATGTATGAAAAAAAACACTTGCATCGAATATCACGAGACGGTTCCCTCAAAGGCAACAGAAAGAGGTCAAACGACCGCAGCATTCCCCATTACGTCGGATGAGTCCGACTCCGCTGTGTGTTTACCCGAAGTCTGGAAATTTGACCTCACTCCATCCCGGGACGATAGCCGCACCGAGGCGCTAATGGCCGACGAGTCATTATCACACCCATTCTGCCGGGCTGGCTGTCGGGGCCGGTTCATTTAACCCCTGACACGGTGTAGTCCGTGACGCGGCGCGGTCCCACGCGCCGTCCGCCGGGCCGCCGTGACCCGCTCGGTGACACCCGGTCATTAGAGGGAGGGGGAGGAAGGGTCACCGCTCTGCAGTTATTGCGCCAGGAGCCGCTCCGGTGGACCGTGGGACGACCAGCTGCAATGGCGGCGGCTGAGGGATGAAACCGCTCTTCATCAGACGCTGCTGAATATTGCCGACATTTGTAAACTGACACGGTACTCATAAAATGGTCAGGAACGAGACAACTCTCAGTTTATTACCTGACAGGCCTTGGACACAGAAATAATCTCCAGACAACAAAGCCTAACGTGTTTTATTATCAGCTCTTACTTACTTACTTACTCCTCGGCGGCAGCTTCACTGGCGGAGCGGAACCCGAAGATACGAGTCCATGCCGCCTCTGCGCCTCCCACCGACTGCACGTCGGCCAGTGTCCTGCGAGAGATGGTGCCGCAGGCCAGCTGACAGGCGAGTCTACCCACGGCGCCACGACGATGCGACTTGGCGACCCATCCTCGACGAAGGCCGCGCTCGACCATCCTCTCGACCTCCCGGCTTCCTCGATGCAGTGCTTCTTGCGCTTCCGCTTCTCTTTGGTAGTCGTTCACGATGTGCCTGATGTCGGAGGCCGAGAGGACGATCCTGCTGGTTGCCGAGGAGCCCTCTCCCGCCAAGCGGTCGGCCTTTTCATTCATGGAGATCCCGGAGTGGCCAGGGCAGTAGAGCCAGGTTATCCTTTGGGGAACCTGTTGCCACTCGGGAGGCGACCAGCCAGTTTCCAGTTTCCGGAGGAGAGATTGTGAGTCGGTGGCGATGATTATGTGCTCCGCGTCTGGGGCGAGCTCGCGAGCGGCGCACAGGCCGAGGGTGACCGCCTCCATTTCCGCGCGCATGCTCGACAGGGTCAGTCGACATGCCCCGGATGTGCAGCGCGTCGACTCGCCGTACCTGAGGAAACAGCCCCAGCCGCTGCGAGGTGGGTCACGAGTGACCGATCCGTCGGTGGCGAGAACCAGAGTGGCAGTGTCCCGGTCGTGGATCTCGTCGAGAAGTTCCTCGAACGCCGCGTTGGCGACTCCAGGGGGCCACTCGCGGCATGATCTGTCAAGTGAGTGACAGGCCATGATATTCCAAGCGTCCGACACGCAGTCCGGAGTCGCTGCGAATTGAGGACCCGCTCTCAAGCTGTGGCGCCCCTTGATGTCTCGCAGGGTCGCGCAT